AAGGATTTTGGATTGTAAGGATTGGATATGAGAAGAATTTGATGGTTTAGTGGAGCCCAATAGCTCAACTCCGTAAGTCCAAATAGGTCTTATTATATTCATGTATATGAGTCTTTTGTAATTAATTGGAGGTTTAGATTGTTTGTCTAGTAAGTGTAGGAGTAAGCGGAAACGTCGAGCAGTTTCTTGTTTCAGTCTTGTATGAGGATTCCAAGTAAGACGTTTGTCTAGGTGGAGTCCTAGGTATCAGATTTGTTCAACAGGGATAAGTGGGGTGTTGTTAAAGGATACAGTAGGATAGTAAGTCCTAGGTTTATGACAAAGGGTAAAGGTGATTTGATGGGATTTATTGGAATTTATTTTAATCCTCCAGTTTTGACACCATTCTTCAAGGTTGTGATGTGTGATTGAAGAGTTTGGGAAGCGATTGATGGATCATTATCTACTGATACAGAAAAGGCTGAGATAAGGGATCTGGATGGATCAAAAAGGGAAAGTTTATGAAGCAGTAACCATCTCAATTTGATACCAGAAACTGAGGGAAGAGCTTCATGGAAGTAGGTAGGTAGCTTTCGCACACCGAATCCTTGTCTATCTCAAGTTGCGAAGCAACCTCAACTCTTGGTAGTCATCTGCAAGCTTAGTATTGGAATTGGTAGCATCGCGCCTCTTCTGCATATCTTTAATTAATGAACAGGTGAAGCTAGAAAAATGGGTTTTATAGATAAGATTGTCCTTGGAGTTAGAGAGGAAATTGGTACTGAGTTCACCAGAGATGATTATTCTGAGATAGAAGGGAACAAAATTTAATTTAGTTGACTCAAATTACAGGAACAAGAGGAGGACGATATACCACAGCCTAATGGAGAAGAAGAGTATTATAGAGGATTTCTACCAGAAGGTATTCAACTTGTGGATAGTCGTAAGGAGGAAGAAATTGAGGATTCAGGTCTTCAGGCTATTGTGAACAAACATGACTACTCCATCGTCAGTCCTACTTACCCGGTCATGACGAAAGAGGGTGTACTTAGGCAAGGAAACAGGAAAGGACGGGATGTAATGTTTAAGAATATCAAGGATTAACTACAATTGAATTAATACATCTATATAAATAAAACAACATAAAAATGAGAAAAAAAAGTTTTTCTTTTTTCCAGCTAGATCAATCACCTTTACAAAGTGATTGAATTCTGCCAACTAACTAAAAAAACTTTATATTTTCTTAAATTAATTGGACACATTCAAGGAAAAAAAGCACAAACCAAAACAGTTCTTTTTCGATCTTATGAAATTAGGGTAAAACATTAAATTGGATTGAATCATATATTGGACTTTGTGCTAAAATGTTGTATAAATCTTCATTTACACAGTTATTTTGAGGGTCAAATTTGACTACAGTTTTATATACCAATACTTTGAATCTATAAGCATTGACAGTGTGTATGTAGTTGCATGATAATTTTTTGAACGTGGTATAAAAGCTGGTTTTAAGGTATGACTGAGCTTTATGTTTAAGAGAATAAAAATTGTTTTAAAGACTATAATGTTGTCTCTGGAAATATGCTGCTTCATCTTCTGATTGAACACACCTCTTGTAAGTTTCAGCAATGTTACCTAACTCTTTTGTTAAATACTTCAAATCGCATATTTTGTTGATGTTACGGTCACCTAGTTGCAAAAGATGTTTAGCCTGTTATATTTATGTATATTTTTATTTGAATAGTGCAATTTAATTAGTATTTTGAAGCATTTCTTCGACAATCTATTGTTTTTCATTTTAAAAATCTTTATTATCTATTTAATACCTTATTTGATAACTAAATATGATATATATATTAATCCTGATTTAAGTCTGGTGATGTATCCTAGGGTATTTACAGATAGTTTAAAAAGCTTCTTCATGACACGAACTTGTGCCATTTCTAATTCGTTCAGGTATCTTAGAAACTATATTTGGGAACATACAGGAATGTGTCTTTTAACATGGCACTGTAAAGATTAATTTTTGTCTTCCAAATTACATTTCATGTTGATTAAGATACCTGCTGTTACGGCATAAACTGTGTTTGCTTTTTAAGAACGTTGTTAAAAATAGTAATTTCTTTGATATAGGGATATCAAAAAAATCCAAACCAAATAAATTATGCTGCTAATTTTCTCCAATTCTACTCCATTACATTTTGTCTTTAAAATAGAATACTTGGGCCATCCTTTGCTAAAGTCAAGCCACATAGATTTTTCAATGTTTATGACTAGCTTGTTTGCTGTGCAGTACTCTTTTAAAATTAAAAGCTTATTATTAATGTCTGTAGTAAAATCGCCAAACATTATCAAATTGTCAGCATGAGAACATTAAGACTGATTCTTAGTCCCGTTACATTTCTTTCTCTGAAAAAAATACTCTATATCCGAAATATAGAGACTGAAGAGTAAAAGACTGATAGTTTCACCTTGTAGAACTCCTTGTGTGACGCAAATTGGATTACTCATTTTATCTAAGTTATTAACGATTTTTTTTCCAAATTTAATTTCTGAGTTTAAATGATTTTTTCAATGTTTCTTGATAAATATTTGATATATGTTACTGTGTAATACTTCTTGCTATATTGGTTATCATTACTTTAAAAGTTTTAGGGTTTGACAGATTTTGTCCTTAGTTTCCATGGATTTTGTGAGTTTCAGTATTATTAATTTTAAAATAATTTATGATTAAATTTATCCTTTCTTACCTTTATGTTTAATTTTGTTCTTTTTATACTATATTTTATTAGCGATTCTTATTGAGTGCCAATTTTCCAATAAGAAATTATAGACTTCTTTTTTTATTTTATTACTTTGGATGTCGTATTTTATTAATTTATCCTAAGATTTTATAACCTTTTTTTCTATTGATTTAGAATGCTATTGATTTTTCACAAACGGGAATGGTAATCGACCTATTTTATTTCTATGTATATTGATGTCAAGAAATCTAAACCTACTATTTTGTTCAATTTTTACTTTAAATTTTAGTTTTTTGGATAAGGTATTTAAAATTTTTCAGTTTCACTTTTATTTATTGTAGTTCCATTAACCACCTAACAGATGTTGATAATATATTCATAAGTACATTTTATGCCAGTACTGTAAACAGTATTATGATGTAATAGTACAAAATAAGATAAAAAATAATTGTAAATGTTTTTTCACTGCTACGAATTGAATTAATGTCCACCTGCCTTCCGAACCGCCAAAGAGTTTGTTTAGTATTTCCATGTGAACTTAAAACAGCATTAGTAGACCCAATTCACTTCTTTTTTTTTTTTAATTAGGTGATTTTTTTTATTAAATCAAATTAGAAGAAGGTGATAAATAGTCAGGAGACAGTCATTTCAAGATTTTTATTTTGCTGACGTTTCAATCCAAGCATGTGGGTCATCATCAGGGCTGAAAATTTTTCAATAACATCAGAGATATCATACATAAACAGATATAATATAATATAAACAGATATAATATAACACATAAAAACAGACTGTTAGTAATGGTAAATAGTGATGGACGATTCATGAGATAAGCAAATGGAATATTTAATAAGTTATACAAACCAAGCTGGTAAAGAACTAGAGCTCGAAATAAACACAGATAAGACAAAATTATGGTTAGCTGCAAAAATGATGATAAATCCGGTTATATCGATATAGAAGGTAATATGTTTGAACACGTAGAGAATTTAGGTTTCTAGTATCTACGATAACAAGATAAAACGAAATTGAAGAGGAGATTAAGGTTAGACTGAAGGCAGGAAATGCTTTTTATTTTTCTGTGACAAAATTACTTAGTTAGTAACACTTCCTGTCCCGAACTTAAATTAGAATCTATAAAACCATTATCCTGCCTACGGTTTATGGATGGGAAGCGTGGCCACTTAAATCCAGGGATGAGCAACATATTAAGGTTTTTGAAAATAAAGTATTGCATAGAATAATCAGACCTAAGAAGGATAAGTTAACCGGAGATTTCAGATGGTTACATAATGCTGAATGCATAAATTGTATCCAGTTAATATCATTGAAGTGATTACATCGTGATGAAGTAAATGGGGTTGTAAAATTTTTGGACTCAGTAATAAAAGAATTCCTAAAAGGTTAATATTTGCTGTGCCTACTAGTAACAAAAGAATTCCTAAAAGATTAATATTTGCTGTGCCGACTGATAAACATCCGAGGGTTAGACTGAAGTGAAGGTGGGAAGATTGCGTTAAGGCCGATCTGAATGGACTGGGGGGACTGGGGACGGCGACCAGTGGAGGGTGGTGTGTAGACAGCGATTGGTAGTGTCGGCATCGAACCTTTATATTCGCTAAGCCTTTTATTATTTATTTTTACATAAACTATAAAATAATAAACATAATCAACTTATAAAATGTAATATTTAATATTATTATTCATGTTACCAGTACTGAAGGTATTCAAGTACTGGTACCTAGGTAGTAATATCTGCCCAAACAGTAGCTGTATTTGAGATAATGAAGCATTTTGTTTGTTCTTAAGATGTAAATGGAAAAGAATTTGACATTTTTTTGACTAAGGGTGTTTTATACAATGTAGGTTGTAGAAAATCTAAGATAACTAAATTTAATGGGTTTTTTAAAGTCGAAATTGATAAATTCGATAAATTCGACCAAGATATGATCTCAATAAATGTGCCTATCTTATTTTATGTGACTGTTTTGTTTTTTGTTTGAGGATTTTTAGTTCTGTTCTTCTTAATAAGTATTAAAAATAGTAAGCATATTCCTACGGAATATTCTTCTCTCATTTGTTGTATGCATTGTTTGGTGTGAAAGTGAATAATTATTGTCTTTTTTTTATAATGGTATTTTTTCATTTAACAAAAAACACATAAACCTGCCCCTACTAACTTTTATGAATTTATTTCTCACTCTTATATTATAAGTGAGATTCCGCTTTATATACATTACAATTGAATATTTATATTTTCTTCTGTTCCTATGACAGGAAGTTCGCATCTCAGGCAGATATAGGCCTACGATCACCTCTTGTCAGGCATGGAGTTCCTCCGTTACCTCCACGTTCCAGCTCCTCATCAAGACATAGACTCCATCGTTACAACAACTTTTATCATAATAGTTATGGGGATTATGGTGGTTTTTATTCCCCATATTCAACTTCATTATATAGACAGCAAGACTATGAAAATAGGTTTGACCTTTTTTATTTTGTTATTTCTTAATAATTTATTATTATTTTTTTATATATAATAATCTATAAATATTATATTGTTATTGATTTTTTAAAATTTTTCCTATTATAAAAATTGGTTTAAAAATGTGCATTGTAGAAAGATCATTTCAGGTAATCTTTCTTAATCTTGAACCTGCTGCTGCAGAGTGCATGAAATTTACTATGTATGTTAATTAAATTAAATATATGACCCTATTAATTATGAGCCAATGGTGCCAACCTAATAAAGGCAGATATCAGCTAATAAAATTAAAGAAATGATTATGAAGGACCGCCTTATCACAATCAGTGAAATTTGCATGAATTTGTGGCAAAACAATAATACACTTTTTATGGTGCATACGATTATGCACATACACACATTTCATTGCAAAAAAATAACTGTAGTGATGTCCCTGCCTCACTATTTGACTGATATGGCCCCATGTGACTCTTTCCTAAAATAAAAAGAACCTTAAAAGGCTGTCATTTTTCAAGCATGAATGAGATAAAAACCACATTACTGAGATTTATTATAAGATTAGAGAGAAACACTTTATTTTCATAAAATATAAAATATAAAGGATTGCTGCCCAATTATATTGGGTTGCTATACACACAGCATACTCTTCTATCCTTAGGACAATATATGAACTTATGTATAAATATACAAAAGTCTTACTTAATATTAGTAAAATAGATATATATATATATATATATATATATATATATATATATATATATATACATTTTTATTATTTTTTTTCCCTTTTCCTTCCTTTCATTGTTTATGCTTTTTTTTTTTTTTCTTTCCTTTAACATTTAGTTTCCCTTTCTCTCACTTCTCTCTCTTTATCTCTATTGTTTTCAATTATTCATTAAATAAATAAATAAATACATAAATTAAAACTCTCGGGCTAGCCATGCACGTGGTGGTGAATGATTCCCAGGGAGTCGAGGACTATATTTTCAGCCAACCTCGCTGCGTCCTTAATGTCGACACCTAGTTCCTCGAGGAAGCTCCTTGTTCTTTTTGGGATAGTTCCGCGAGACTCAAACCAGAGGCCTCTTACGGTGAACTCTCTCTCTCCGAAGGTCTCACGGAATTTATCTTTTAGGAAAGGGATACATTTATTGTACGTGTTCTTCTTTTCCCTTTCCACTTCACCCGCCTGATCGAGGTCATTGCTCTCAAAGCGGACAGTTGGATCCAAGATCAGCGCTGTCCTTCCTGTCTTGGGAAATGCGACAATATCCGCTTATCTGGTAGAGCCTTCACTATCGATGCAATATACCTCGTCAAAGCAGGTGAATTTCCTTTCCCTAAGGAGCCTCATCAACTCGAACTTGACCCGGTGGTGACGACGTGTTATGAGGAGGGAGTTGTTGGGGCATTTTCCCAGCACATGGGCTGGTGTTTCAGACTCTCTGCCGCATTTACGGCAGAGGGACCCAACTTCTCCGACCTGTCCGCTGACTCCTGGGACTCCACGCAGGGGTGCATAATTAATGTTTAGTTTTAGGGCATTCGACCATTCAGACCCAGAAAGTACTTTTTTTTCATAGATGTATCTATTTGCTTTCGGGGTCTCTTTAAAATGGCGAACACCAATACCCTGCCACCTGCAGTTGGCCCATTCCTCAAATGCATTTTCTTGTTGCGACTGCCGTAGATCTTTCACATTTCGATGACCCTGATCAACCCCCAATCTCTCGGCACATTCAGTAATTTCAGCCGAATAATCGAAGGTAGACTGAAAAAGGGCATCTGGTACATTGGACAGTCGCTGAGCAATGGACCAATGTTGAAGAGGAGCCTCCCATTATAATAAATATTAAATGATATAAATAATAACATTAAATGATAAATAAAAATAAAGATTAAATGCTATCCCAAAGATCTTGTTCCAAAAGTTTTCAGGGACTGGAAGAAGTGCTGGTATAAGCGTATAATAACTAGGGAATGGATTTTACAGATTTATTCTTTTTTTCTGTTTGAGGAAAACAGAGATCTAAACAGATTTATGCTGATCTTGAGTAGTAGATTAAAAATTGAAAATCCTATCAGATCTTTTTTTATCTATTTTGCAATGTCGCTCTTAAATAAATTTAGTTTCCAATTTAGTTCTAAATAAATATTTTTTTTCTTCAATTATGTAATAAAATAAATGTGTTTTGCCTTGTTGCACAAAAAAAAAAAAAAAAGAAGATTATTATGGGTTCTTTAGAGTTTGATTTGATTCAATAGAATAGAAATATCAAATTTATTTTGGGACTAAGTCCCTTAAGAATTATACTAATAACAAAAATAAAGATTAATTCTAGCCGTAACACTGATTACACTTTCGAGAAAATAAAATAAATATCTAATCTAACAGAGACCTAAAAAAAAAAAATACAAAAATTAGAACAGGTGAGGAAAAGGGACACAAAATATTTGCTGCTTATAGAAAAATTCTGAAAGGGTAGTTAAATTAATCTTTTACGCAATATTAATCATAAAAAAAATATTTATGTTTATTACTTTAAAAATGTATGACTAAATAAACATAATTGTATAGTAGAAGTAATAAAGAAATAAAATTAATTGGAAGCTGTACCTTAGGGCTCTGTACAAAGTAATATTAAATATACATTTGTATACCTTACAAAAAAAATCCTTATTTCATAATCCATAATTAGCCAGTGTCTAATTGATTTCTGAAGAGGAACTGCAAAACGAAATTTTTAAATGTGGATAAGGAAGTGGAATGGCATATTTTAAGTGGGAAAGAATTCCAAAAAGTGATAGAGCGGGATATGAAGGAGATTATGCAATTTATAGACTAGATAGAGAAATAACTATATTCTGGGACAAAGTCCCTTAAGAATAATAAAATGCTACGGAACAAAAGAATACTTCTGGCCAAGAGAACTGCATTAAATAAATAAAATATCTTATGTAAACTAACAAAATATACAAAACAAACTGCTGAAACTATGTACAAAATGTTTAGAAATATATACAATACAAATAAGAAATTAAACAAAATAATCACTGTATAACTAAAAAAATAATAAAACAGATAGAAACAAAAGCAATGAATAAAAAATTAATTCCTCTAGTAAATGAGCACCAAGTAAGAATAAGTAATGTAAAGTACAATATAAAGAAATAAAGATTTGTAGATTCTATTTTGGTTAGAATTAAAACATTTATAACAAAAATAGTAAGAAAATAAATAAATTAAACAACTAAGAGCATAGTAATCTTGTAGAACAGAAATGATGCGGTATAAAAAATATAAGTACACGTAAGAATATACACAAGTTCATGAGCAGTAATGAAAAAACAAAATATATGTATACATAAAACATTAGTTTTTAAACCAAGGTTCCGAAATTTAACACATGATTAGCCATTATCATACTGGTTTTTAAATAGGAATTGGAATAGGAGGGTTTTAAAGTTGGATAAGGAGGGAGTATGCCGGATTTTTAAATGAAGTAAATTCCAGAGATTAGTGGAGTGGGCAACAAAACAATTTTTGGAAAGAGGCAGATCTGTGAAATGGGGTATAAAGATCAGAAGGTCGGGGTCTTGTGATAAGAGAGTGGACAGAGGACTTGAATTGGAAAAGATCTTAAGCGTAGGAGGGGCGTTGATTGTAGATAATGTGATAAAGAAATATGCCTAGCAAATATTGTCTACAGAAGGAAAGGAAAAACCACCGAAATTCAGCATAATGGTGGGAGACGTGGGTATGTCTCGGGGTCCCTCTGACAAAGCTATTCATGAGTCCCTTCAGTCTGTCACCGAGAGGACACCGTACACCGCACAGCTGTAGTCAAAGTGGGGTAAAATGAGGGAAGAAACTATGAGTCTGCGGTTAGGTTCGGGTAGAAGATGGCTGAAGTAATGGAATAATTAGAGAGTGGAAATTGACTGTTGAGCGATGTGGGAAAAGTGGTAGTTCCAGGAAAGGGTTCGATCAATGAAAAAACCCAAGTTTTTAATGGAGAAGTAGAAGGTAATGGGTAGGTCATTTAGGTATAGTGTGGGAAAGTTGGAATTGGAACCAATGACAATGGCCTGAGTTTTTGCAGCATTTAACCTTAATTCGTTAAACTAAGAGTCTGAGGTTAGATTCGGGTAGAAGATGGCGGCAGCAATAGAATACTTTGAGGTGGAAATTGACTGTCGAGCGATGTGGGAAATGTTGTAGTTCCAGGAAAGGGTTCGACCAATGAAAAAACCTAAGTTTTTAACAGAAGAGTAGAAGGTAATGGATAGGTCATTTTGGTATAATGTGGTAAAGTTGGAATTGGATCGGAGAACAGGCTTGCAACCAATGATAATGGCCTGAGTTTTTGTAGCATTTAACCTTAATTCGTTAAGGCATGCCCAGGCATTGGTTCGATCAAGGTCTTTTTGAATCTTGGCAAATGCTACAAATAACTCAGAGGGAGAGAATGATAAATATATTTGGAAATCTTCAGCATAAAGGTGATGGGAACAATGAAGGATTGATTTATGAAGATCGTTTATGTAGGCATTAAAAAGAAGTGGAGAAATGCTAGAACCCTGTGCAACTCCTGAGGACAGAGAAAGATAGGAAGAAAGTGGTTGATCAGGGATGGAAACTGTTTGGAATGTTGAGATAGGAAAGATAGAAACCATGAGATGGAACTATTGGAGAACGATAAAGATTTTAATTTTGAAAAAAGGATGGAATGGTTTATGAAGTCAAAGACTTTGGAGAAGTCAAGTAGGACAAGGACAGTTAATTTTTTTTTCATCAATAGGAGCTGGTAATTTTAATTAGGGCTGATCGCATGGAGCAACCAGGGCGGAAACATGATTGGAGAGGATTAAGTAGGATGGATTCTTCAAGAAAGTTGGAGATTTGGGATTATACTATTCTTTCCAGAGGTTTTGAGAGGTTGGAAAGGATTGAGATTGGATGAAAATCTTCAGAAGAGGATGGATTGGACTTTTT